CTTTTTGCTCTTCATTCAATGCTTTATAAAAAGTGTTACAGTGATCGGATTTAGTTAAAATATGCGCCGTTTTGTTCGATGATCTGTTTCCATCTAGAAGGCAACTTCATAATACCTTCCTCGTAGAAGCCCCCTCCTTATTTGCGAAGAATTCGGACAGCCACTTTTCACAAGCCTCTTTTGAGTTCAACTTCACACCACCAAGGGCATTCGCCATGGACAGGAACAGGTGGTAGTCACTTGGCGCTACGTCCGGGCTATATGGTGGATGCGATAAAACCTCCCATCCGAGCTCCCGTAGCTTCTGACGAGTCATCAACGAAGTGTGTGGTCTGGCGTTGTCCTGGTGGAACACTACACCCTTCCTGTTGGCCAATTCTGGACGCTTCTGGTCGATCGCCTGCTTCAAGCGGTCCAGTTGTTCGCTGTAGATGGTAGAATTAAGCGTCTGGCCATATGAGAGCAGCTCATAGTGGATGATTCCCTTCCAATCCCACCAAACACACAGCAAAACCTTCCTGGCCGTCAATCCCGGCTTGGCCATTGTTTGGGACGATTCACCGGCCTTCGACCACGACCGTTTTCGCTTGATATTGTCGTATGTGATCCATTTTTCGTCGCCAGTCACCATCCGCTACAAGAATGGGACGAGTTCGTTCCGTTTCAGCAGCATATCGCAGGCGTTGATTCGGTCCAGAAGGTTTTTTTGCGTCAAATTATGCGGCACCCAAACATCAAACTTTTTTTTGTATCCAGCCTTCTGTAGATGGTTCAAAATGGTTTGGTGACTAACTCCCATCTCCTGGGTGATGTCACGAGATGCCATATGCCGGTCTAACTCGATGTATTCCATGATTTGATCGGTATTTGTCGTCACAGGTCTTCCGCCGGCTGGCTTATCCATGGTGCCGTTTTCACTGGCTCTGAATCGTCGAAACCATTCCTCCGCGGTTCGAAGTGATAGAGTACCATCCCCCAAAACACCATTAATCTCACGGAACGTTTCTCTAGCGGATTTGCCTTTAACGAAGGAAAACTTTAAAATAGCGCGAATTTCGGCGTTAGTGAACTCCATGTTACACGTCTATAACTGTTGAACGCAATATCCAAACTAATCATGCATAGCGTTGTTTTGTAGGTTATGTCAAGACCTTTAAAATATGTATAGTGTTGCCAGATACGAGCTCTGTAGCGCTTTGTACATAGCCGCGAAATTCAAAAGACAAAAAAGCGGAAGGGAGATATTTATATACCTTATATTTAAATTCACGATCACTGATTGTCAGTCACTAGGTGTTCAGTTTCAGTCTTGACAATATTAATAGCTAATCTTTCTGATCATTATGCTTTGAAAGAACAAAATGTGGACTCGCATGTGGAAATATCAATGTTGACTTATTGAGTTCCAAAAACGAAGATCTAAAATGCATATTGATAAGATTCATACAAAAACTACCGTATGCTAACTCTATTAGTGTCATGGCGGAAAAAACTACCTAGACTGTGTAAACTACATACAAACAAATTAACTCCCATTATTAGTCGTATTTCAATCGCATGCCTCGCTCGAAAGAGCACATAAATTAACGAAGTAATCGTGCGGTTGCTTAAATGAGCGCATTCCAGTGAAGGGCTTGTAAATGCAATTTTTTCTACGAGTACTCGTAATTTACTCAAAGTAATGCATTGCTATACTCATAACACGTGCGTATCAATTATAGTGAAAATTCATCAAGCATAAATAAAACTTGTTGATTGGAAACGCAGCTTGGGTGTTCAAATGAACTTAACGATCTTGTCTTAAATAATGATGAAATGTAATAAATGCGAAAAACTATTGAAATTCAAGTGCAATCTGATTAAATGCAGGCCTGAATGTATCTCTCTTTGAAATATATTTAGTTCGAACTGAATATTGTCTATCAAGTTTCTATGTCTTTTTGGATTATCATAATATGTATATATATGAACTGGCTTAGTTGCCCGATCTTAACAATATATTCTAAAATAATAGCGTTGCTTTGGACAATCACTTTTACCAAATTTCATATCTGAACAATTTGTTTGAAAATCAAGGTGATGCCTTGAATAATAATCTATACCAAATTTCATGCAAATATCTTGCCAAATAAAAAAGTTTTCTGTACAAGGACTTCATTTTGAACGATCAGTTCTATATGGCAGCCCCATATCGGCAATTCCGACAAATGATCAAATTTTTGGGGAGAAAGGAATGTGTTAGGGCCTAGTTCGTATATATACAGACATACAGTCGGTCACGGCAAAGTTACATACTCGTATACTGTTCAATAATAAAAATTTCGATAAACGCGTAGAGTAGAATTTTCTATTTCAACAAACCATGATGGATTACTAAAATTTTGCCAAACTCTCAAAATAATACCCGTAAAAGTTTTGAAATTACACTCTGAATGATGAAAACTTCAACTTCTATACATTTTTACAGGCTAGGTTAGGAAGGAAGTTGAGACATTGAAGAGAAGTATCTGTTACATTGGTTAAAACTGTCTGCAGATTTAATATTAGTCTCACGAAAAACATTCGGATTTTGAAAATTTGCTGTTAGATAAGTTAGAGTCCCATATATTTACTTTGAAAGGATCTACGGTATAAAAATGTACAGCCATTATCCCAAAGCTTGCAATTGACTCAACCTGCTGTAAATTCCCCAATACGTTTAATATATATGTTGGTACTTCATATCTAAACTGTAAGAATGCAATATTCATTACTCACTCAATTAACCCATTTTCGGGGTAAGCAAAATAAACAGAGATTATAAATATTTTTTCGTAATTATTTTATAAACAGATTGCTTTTTGTGCATTCCCTGCGGCAATTAAGTCATTCTTCAAACAAAAGCTGGTTCAATAACCTCTACAAATATTTTTTAGCCAAAACAATGAGTGGATAATATTATATTATCAAGAAGGTATTCAAACTTCAAAAATTGGCGGCGCCTACAGATATTTTGTTAAGCTCAAAGCCATTATTTGGATTAATAACTGACCCAAATATCGGTAAATAAATATGCATAAATATGCAATGAAGTCATTAAAAAAAGCTAAAACCAAAATTTTTTATTTGCACCAATAAATGTAAGCCGATTGAACGACTATATAATCAACAGATAAAACTTAAGATTTAATTTTTATTTTGAGGGAGAATACTTTCACGTTTAAGGAAATACTAACTAATTTACTGTCAAACCTCTAAAAAACTTTACAAAAATGTATGGTTGATAAAGTCAAAGGGTAGGGTGATTCTACAAGTATATCACGAATGGAGAGCCTAGTATTTGCCGAAATTGTTCCAATCACTGAATTGTTCTGAGATGGTCAATTGAAATCGCAGAGATGATAGGGTGGACCCATAGGCTGGATATTGGACGAATGTTCTGTTGAGGCCAGAGCCATTCAAGCTCATGTATTCGCGGTTACAGTCGGTTGTCCGGTTTAACGAAATGCGTTCATTCAAGCTCACGTCTCTGCGGTTACGGTCGATTATCAAGTCCCTTGAGCTCTTTTCCCGATTTCCATATAAGTAGATTTGCCAATTAATATATTCGTCATCAATAAAATGCGCTAGAGTCTTTAAAATTTATACCAATCTTATGGATTTATACCAATGCAGATTAGTTGTTTGAACTACTCGAATATTCGTCTTTGGAACTTCAACCTAACCTCACAACATTTAGTTGAATTGAATCATTAGTTGCATGCTTAAAAGTTATTAAATTATATTTCCGTTTAGGAAAGCCCTGAAATTAAAGTCGACCCATAATTACCTGGGGTTATTTTCAATATATAAAATTATTTAAATATTTTCTCTGAAATTTCTCAAAGTTCATCTAGCGCAAATATATTCAGTAGTTGAAAGAATTTCAAATCTACAGAGAAATATTATGCATTATTTACCGCATGCCTTTTGTAAGTAGTGCGCCCATATACTGCGTCAAGAAGCTTATAAAAATCCCCGTAAAAGACGTGTGACATATTTGGAAGTATGAATGCTTTGAAAATTCCATAAAAAGAAATTTTAAACACTCATTTCTTGTTATTTCTTTGTATAGGGAAATTTATTCATAAAACACTAATTGAGTTATTCGAAGAAATAATTGGCGTACTTTCCAACAAGGTATAGGTAATTTTAATGGTTGTAGGAAATTTGTTAGTTTTTAAATGACTACTCACATCAGTATGGATACAGCATTGAAAGTTTTAGGGCAAGTCTCCTCAGTACTACAATATAGGTTTCTTGGTCTTCGATCGCTATCGGTTACTATTATTATATTATTAACAACCTTAAAGCTTATTATTACATTATAAAACGTTTACCAATAAAAAGATACAAGTCGGATCACCAGATATGCTAAATAAAACTTTTAATTTATTGTAAAAACAATAGATTTATTTTTACTAGACCTTTTACATACTCAGAATATGCTCAACATGGATCTACTAACAAGTTCTAATGCTATAAATAATATCGGAAGTGATTTCACGAAAAAAATGTCAGACCAAAGTTATTACTAGCTCTGTTTAGAAAAGATTAATAGACGCCGTAATTATCTACAAAAAAGACGATCATATAAATGTATTGTACCTCCATACCGAGCATAAAACGTAATAATAGTGTAGAGTGCTATCGTGTGAGCCCCCAAACCTATGGCATTTCTGGAAATGATGTAGTTTTCTGGAATTCGTGACGTGAATCAGAGGAATTCCGTCACAAACTCTTATAAAAGCTACATATGTATATAGAATGCTAATTAAATTAACAGCAACGAACCATAAGTTCTTGAACTATAGGTCTATGGACCTCGAAAAAAAATCCATTTATTTAATTAGCTCGTGTATTTAATTTATAAATATTCGTTATTTTAATTACGATCTAATACGTATGTATGTATATATTATATGTACTTATGTACTATATTATATACTAATATATAAATATATTTACATTCTTTCATTCAGCGTTTAGCGTTCAGTAATCGCGTGGCTCTATCTAGTATTTACTTTTTGCTTGGTGATAAAAAAAAATGAAATATAATTTTCAGCTGCATTCCAGAGCAATTCACATAAGTATGTGTTTATTGAAATATATATGTATATCTACATATGATGAATGTATGTACTTACAAGTATTTACACCTATTTAACACTTGAAGTAATCTCTGGGGAAAAAAATTATATGAAAATGTTGGATGGAGTGGGAGAAACCTGAGTAAAGAAAAGCGGCTAGAGCGCAACAAAACTAACGAGAGCTTCAATAATATTGACCATTTGACTACTAAAATAAAATTTTTTAAACACAAACATAAAATATTTTAATGCAGCTCACTTAAACGCGTGGTGCTGAATAAGAACAATAATGCAGAGATTTTATCCATGGCAGAGATACTGGAAACTAAATTTATTTATGGCCGGAGAGTACTTAAGGCTGGCGATATTTAATACTGGAGAGCACTAAGCGTTTTATAACTGATTAAAATACATTTTAAAATACAAAACTCTTAGAGAGAATGAGAGCTTTTATTCATAAAGGTTGAAGAATTAACAGTGTGCTGTTAATGACACGACGATCGTAGACGAGCGATCTCTTTAAAAGCTAATGCTTGATGTACACATGTATAAATAAATTAATTGAAGCTGGAAAAAAATGTTAACTACGGTTGATACGGAGCTATAATAATCTTTATAAATAAATAAAAAGTTCGTACAAGAATTTGATTTTGATCGACCAGTTTGTATAGCAGCTGTATGCTCTAGTGATCTGATCTAAACGATTTATTCGGAGATTGTACCGTTGTTCTTGATAACAACGCTGAATTTCGTGCAGATATCTTTTCAAATAAAAAAGTTTTGCGCACATTAACTTGATTTTGATCGTTTAGTTTTTATGGCAGCTACATGTTATAGTAACCCGATATTGGCGGTTCCGACAAATGAGCACCTTCTTACTAATAAAAGGACATTTGGAAAATTTGCAAATTGAAAATTTTTCGCATATGTACAGACTGACAGGTGGGCATATGTTCAGACATTATATATTTTATAGGTTTTACAACGTTTTCTTCTGGGAATTACAAACTTAGTGGCAAACTTAATATACTCTGTTAAGAATATAGTTATCTTGAACATCATTCTTCGGCCCCACTATGCTTAAAGCGCGCTAATCTCATTACTTAGCATTTTAGATCGCATGTATGCGGCTCACGCGCTGTTAACAGTGAGCATTTAACAGTAAGCATTTAACAGCAGATGGTCGCTCTTCTCTCGCAGGAGTACTCAGCACTGTTAGCGCTGCCACTGAAAAGCCAACATTGAAGTCTCGCTAATATAAAGGTATTCGTTGCGGCGACGAAAACCAGTTCACCGTGAGATATCGAACAAATTGCAACACTAGAAAAGAATTCAAAATAATTCTATTGCAAAAATAAAAGCACAAAATGCAAGCGTATAAAAAAAGCATGAAATGAGTGACGCGCGTTAATCAAGAGCAACAAATTTAACGCATAAAAAATTAAATTTGGAAATAAAGTATGCCCATTGTGCATAGATTGCAAAGATTTACAATAAAGTAATAAAAAAGCAACATATATAAAGTGAAAACTGGCCAAACCGGTTACTGGTTGTTAAAGTGTCCGCGACAAAGGCAATAAACGTGACTTATTGCTGGGAACATAATAAAAATAAAAATTTGAGAAATTCCCAAAGGCAACTGAAAAATCCATAGTGAGTTACTACATACGTGCAAAATAGTTGCAAACAAAACTTTCACTAAAAATTTAAATTTACAAAAATTTAAAAATTTACGAAAATTTACAAATATTTAATAATTTACAAAAATTAAAAATTTTCCAAAAATTGTGAAAGCTCAGAAAGCAAAGAACTTGCTGAAAACACTGAGAGATTAACAACAACAAAAACAGCAACAAAAATCGAAACGGTGAAGTGACGTTAAAACTGCCAACAGTTTTACATAAACACACATCCAAGTAAAGGCAAAAAATTTAATTTTTTTGCGCAATTCTGCTGTTTTCTTAACGGTATATGGAAACTATGACTTCAACACTGCTGCAACAACACGCCACACAGACAGCAACAACCACAGCACATCATTTTCAGCACCGCAGCCATCACCACCACAACCAACATCAGCACCATCATTTGCATTCGCATCCCACGACGACGACGACCACACAAGCCGCCGCCGCAGCAACTGTCGCCGCAGCCGCCATGGCGTGGTCAACTGAGAAATTACGCTTCTCCTGCGTGGATAATATTGGCTTGAGACAATTGTGGAAATTAATTGCATTGGATAGCAGCAGCAATAGAACCAGTAATAATAATAATAATAATAATAACAACAACAGCAGTATCACAACAAATGGCGCTAATATGAACGACTGCGACGCAATGCAACACAACAAGCACAACAACAATGTGGATAATGTACAACAAATGCAAGAAAATTGCCTTAGCAACAATAACAACCACAACAATTATAATGAGGTGAGTTTCTAAACAGTTAATTAGTTTATTATATTTTGTATATACGTACTCAATAATAAGGCCAATTAGGGTGGTGTAAAATACTAGAGTTGATGTTAAATTTTAGTTTTGAGAGAGCCCCATTTTGTTGAAAAAGTAGCCAAGACATGCGTTAAAATTTAAAGATTTTGAATTTACTTCAATAAATGTATTTTTTAAATTCAAAATGCGAAGAAAAGAAATTTAATTACCTGTTTTTGAATAAAAATATACGTATACCATAAAAATAAAATTATTTTTTCTAAATATAGAAATGAAATATATTTATTAAAAAAACATTAAATTTCAAAACAAAAATTTTTTAAATTTCACAAAAAATCCAAAAGTTAAAAAAAATCTAACATTTCAAAAAAAAATTTCAAAAAAAGTTCCTAATCTTTCTAACAAAAATTCATAATATTCCCAAAAAAAATCCAAACATCCAAAAAAAAAAAATTTCTAAAATTTCTAAATTTTCATTTCGAGATCCTCACGTAAAAACTTTCGTGGAAATGTAAAACGACGCATCGCAGATTTCTATTTCCCATTTAAATAGCACAGAAAAAAATTTTCATTAATTTTGGAATTTTGCAACTCTGAACCGGTTTAACGGGTTGGTGAACCAAATCATATTCTTATAGGAAATTTTACGCTCTACAAAAATGTCTTTACATTCCACATTCCTCAAAATCACACGCTTCTCAAACAAAAACGAAAATAAAATAAATTATAAAAGAAATGAACTGAATAAATATTACAAAAATGCATACTAGTATTCTCAGTCACGCTTACGCTTGTATACATTGTACAAACAAATGTTGTCGACACGGCGTCTGTCACTCAAAGCGACGACCCATTGTCCATTCACATCTACGCTGTCCAATAGACCCTTCAGCGTAACAACTTTAGGGCATAAGCACTCTGTATGTAAATATAATAAATAGTTACCTAAATATACAAATATATGTAAACTTGCGGCAAAAGCTGCTTAATAGCCGGGCGCCCAATTTCATGACTCATATCATAAATTCATTAAACGTATGACAGATAAGTATGCAGAAAAATTGTATGAAAAGCGAAAACACCGTCAACGCCCAGTCTGTGTTTAATAAACATATACACATATGTATGTATGTATGTGAGCGCTTCCGTTATAAAATCTTAAAATGAATGCGTCTTTGCTTTAAAACTGTTTATAATTTTCAAAGATTTCTGCACTTTTTCATTCCGAGTATTATTTATTTTGAAGGTGTTAACATTTGTTTATTTTTCTGCCATGTTTTGTAATGTTTTGAGCGAAGTTGAGTATTTTTTTTTTGTTTTTTGTATTGAGTTTTCAAGGTGTAAATATTTATGTTTCGCATTACTTTTGCACGAACTATTGAGTGTGTTTGTAGAGGTTATTAAATCGTGCTATTTTACATTAGTAGTGCTTGTTTCTCTATTTTCATTTTCATTTTCGGTTTTTTTTTTGTTTTGCATATATAATTTTTTTCTATTTATTTGTTTTTCATTTAATATTTGATTTTTTACTTGTTGCTAAGCGCTATAAACTAGTAATTATTTGCTTGATTTTATATTTTCTAATTCTGAAAATATATCTGCGTTTTTTCAAAATGTTTGCTGCTTAAAAAAATAATAAGAAATGTTTCGGTGCAAAATATCTGCAGTTTTTCCAAATTTTTGTTTTATTTTCTTAAATTTTAGCTTCGGAAATTTTTCGGTGCACCATACCTGCGCTGTTTCAGAATTTTTGTTTCACTTTCTATAATTTTTTTCAAAATTTTGAAAATACAAGCAAAATTTTAAAATTTTTGCATTGTTCACTATATTTTTGCATTATTTTTCGCCCTCAACTCATTTTCAGCTTAATAAACTAGTCAACAGCATTTTTTGTAGCACAACAACACAATTTTTTCTTTTTAATTCGCCTTTTTTTCATGCTAGCTTTGCCTTTATTTTGTTTATTATACTTGTCGAAATTTCTGCCAACCATTCTCACTAAAAATTTTCAACTTTTTGTTATACTTACCTACCTTTTCTTCTTCCAACAACCGTTTAACTAAAAATATTCCACTTCTTTTTACTTACTTATTTTTACGACTTCCACCTATAGTTTTCTCTAAAAAAATTTTCCAATTTTTTGTTTTACTTACCAACCATTTCGACTCACCTAATTGTTTTGAATAAAAATTTTCCACTTCCCTCGTCCCGATGTTTTCTTTAAATCGCTCGTTACTTTTTCTTTTAATTTGTCATAATTACTCTCTTTCTAGTTTTTTACTTGATTCAACATACCTACGTTGCTATCTAGCATAACGATTACTCACCCAGAGTTTCCCCCAAAATTTGTCTGCCGTTTTTTGACTTTTTTTATTAACTTCGCTAACTCTATGTACATATGTATAACATCTAACATAAAAGAAATTTATAAAAATTTATAGTTTTGCCCTGCACTCGACTCGATCGCCACGACTTTCTTTACATTCGTCTATCAACGCTAGTCTCACGGTAGTCAATTTTGTAGTGACGTCAATTGAGCTCACCAATAGAGATTTATGTTTGCCTACCTTCAAAAGCAAAAATGAAATAGGTATGCGGATATCCGGTTTTCTCTTGCACCATTAAAGGTGTATATCGTCAGCGCTTACCTATGCATAATCAATTAGAAAGTCTGCTGGTTATTTGCAGAAACAATTTATAGAAATTTGCATTTGATGACTAATAATTATCTGTTTTGAAAAAGTGGTAATAGAGTTCTTGGAAATTATTACAAATGTCGTCACACGTTCTCAAGAACACTTTGGCCGCTTCTGTTTCTAGTATAATTAAAAAAATATATATTATGAAAAATATTATAAGGTAGCAGTAAAATATTGAAACAAGTGATTTCTAAGCCAATCTGACAACAGTACACCTGTTTAAGGAAAATGGAAATTCCAGCAGTATTATTAACGTAAATGCTTGACTTGCAAAACAGTTGAAAATATGAGCAAATATTTGCATAATGGCTAATGACATTACAAATTAAAAAAGTATATATGAGAAGGCTAGATTGATCCATGCAAGTACATAAATCTGGAAAATAAGCTGATTATTAGCTAAGCACGACTTAATAAAAGCTGGTAACCCTCTGTATTAGATTACAACGCTACGTTTAGACTTAAACCGCTATTCAATATTTTGCAACTTTTCATGCTTCGCACTGCAGATTTCATTGCAAATCATAAGAATCGAACACATTTCGTAGTTTAAAATCGCAAAAGCTTTAACCGTTACTCAACAGTTTGCAATTTCTCACACTTCCCTCTAGCATCTATTCCAAACCGTTAGACGCCATCAAATTGTATTGTGTTAAAGTCGAACTTCCTAAATTTTAACCGAAATCAACACATGCTGAAATCGTGAAAGTCGTGGAGGCGTGTCGAGTCTAAACAAAAATTATGTCACACACAAAATTGTGCTTGTGATCACGCAGTAAATTAATATTTCACAATGCAAGTGAGGTTATCACAAAGTTGATGTGGCAATAATAATAATTATAGAAGTCATAAAAGTTGCTATATTTAAAATAATTTTACCTTCAATATGCTTATAAGCATGTTTTATATGAGCACTTACTGGTTTAACGACGACAGCTGAATTTTTCAAACACCGCAAAAAATATCTGATAAGATGGCAAGCTAGTTTTGAGACACAAAAATTCGAAACAACGTTAGATTGCGCTTTCTATAACTTTTTATATATTTGCAGATTTTTCTCTACTTTTTTATATTTTGTCCACTGATAAGATAAGGTATTGCCGACTATTATTGAAACACGTGTTTTTGACAACTAAAAAATTTAATAAATAAAATAAAATACTGAGGCCTCGAAACTTGATATTTAAACGTTTTCTTTTTACAACTAAAAAATTTAAAAATACTGCTGTAGAATGGCAACTACATATACTTGTATGTAGAGCCTTTGAAAATGATAAAAAGTGAAAGGGATTCATAATAGAAAACGAAAGATAAAATAATAGGAAAAATTATTTTCGAACGTTCTGTGATCGGTAAGAGGATGAATTTTTAAAGATCAAAAATAGTTTATCTCTAATTTCGGCAAAACTACGACTCTTATAGAAAAAGTTATTTGGCGAAGTTGTAGAAAATTCAAAGATCTATAACTTTCGTACCTCAAAATTTATGTGAAAAAGTAAAATTTTTAGGTTTTTTATTTTCATCTTGTATAAAAATTTTGTTTTTTACACGACCTTTGCCTTTATACATATTTTCCACAAAATTGTTTTTATTTTCTTAATACAAATTTTTTTTCCAAAAATAAACAACAAAATTATATTTTTGTTTTAAAAAAATTAACAAATTACTATTTTTCCCACGCACTTAATAAAAACATACCTACAGTCACCGCACTGAGACAATTTGCGACAACTCAATAACATTTGACAATTCAACTGTCAATTCTATTGTCAGTTATTTATAGAAAATACACTCATTATATGCTTATTTAGCGTAAAAAAGGGCAGCAAATAAGACTACCAAACTTTATGTATGACAAATCAATTAAAGTAAGTCAACAAACACAATTCATTCATTAAATTTTCAATTTGTCGGCAGCATTATAAATTGTTATTAGTAGCACGCAGTCGTCGGCGGCAATGATGTTGCGTTCGCATTGTCACTTTTATGTATGGCGCAAGCAGGCAAAATAAAAAATGTTTGATATGGGCATATTTTTATTTAATTATAAGAATTTTTACTGTTGCGACTTAAAAATTTCGATTTCTGTAAACAAAATACGAATTCAAATTTATCGATTTTGTTATTAGCGGTTCACAGCGCGCTCGCTCATTACACGGTGTTTTCATGTAAGCGCAAGTGATGTAATAAATTTATTTGTCTACAAATTTTACATTACAATAAATTAAGCACACAGCAAAAGAACAACAACTTTTATTATAAAAAAACAGCTTGCAAATA